GGATGGGGGAGGAGTGAGGGTGGATGGGGGAGGAGTGAAGGTGGATGGGGAGGAGTGAGGGTGGATGGGCGAGGAGTGAGGGAGGGAGAAGTGAGGGTGGTCAGGGGAGAAGTGAGGGTCTGGGGGAAGTGAGAGTGGATGGGGGAGAGTGATAGTGGATGGGGAGGAGTGAGGGTGGACGAGAGAGACTGCCTGCCTCTCAGAGGAAGAGTTGAGTGTCCTCACCGCCTGCACCTGGCTCCAGGGCTTCACCAGTGCTCACTTCAGTTCCCCTCCACTATCCCCTCAGGCTTCACCATCTCTGCAGCCTCCCTCCCTGTGGTGTCTTTTCTTGGGTGTATGAATATGCACTGATATTGCCTTAATTTTGGGGAAAACAAATCCTTCATTTAGGCTTCCTGGTTGCCAAAATTGAGCCAAACTCTTTGGGTTTTCTACACGTGTTGCCTCCAGTCTCTCAACTTGATGTGCAGCTGCTTCTAAGCTCCTGCACTCAGATGATACGCCACTCACTGGACATTCACTGGCTGTTTCTTCAGCATCTAAGTCTTCCAACAGCCCCATATTTCCCCTTGGGGATCCATGAGGTTCCGGGAAATTATAGAGTTGAAGCACATGACATAGGTAGGCCAATCAATGCACTGAATTCCTTTCATAATGAATAGTGCAGGGGTAATCTTGTGACCTTGCTGCAACAATCAGGATGAACTGTAGGCCTGTTATTTGGAATTCTTGGAGACAGATGCTCTGTCTCTCTCTTGACATTGTGCTCTGGGATTTAAGCCCTTTACTTATCAGACCTTTAAAATTCAGCTTTTATTAATGTTACCCTAAAATAGCCCAAATCTTCTGTGACCTCTCAGAAGTCTCTTTCTCGATTTCTTCCTTTACCTCTTCCTCTTTCCACATCCTAAACATGGGCATTTGTACAGATTCTGTCTTCAAGCCTTGCATGTTTCTCTCGAGTTCACATAGCTCCCTGGCTTCGTCTCTCCATTCCCTATCAGTGTGCCTCTCAAATCCACATCTTTGAGCCTCTCTCTCAAAATTGAGGCCCGCATTTTTTAATTGAATGCTAAACATTTCCATCTGGATGTCCTGTCATCTCCCTTAAACCAAGTTTTCTAAAATAAAAATCAACAACCACCAAAAAGAAAAATGGATAAAAGAAATGAGCAGATAACAGAAAAGGAAATATAAATGTCTCTTAAATGTACGAAAATATCCCTAAGTTTACTCATAATAAAGTATGAAAATTATACTAGGGGAGAAACTAAAACTTATGTTCCCACAAATAATGGTACATGCATGCTTATAGCAGTTTTATTAATAATCAGCCCAAACTGGAAACAACTCCAATGCTCGGAATGGGTGAACGGGTAAATCAACTGTGATACTTCTCAGCAGTAAAAAGCAACACACTACTGATGTGTGCAACAGCTTGGATGAAACCTCCAGGAAATTATGCTGAACCGAAGAAGTCAAGCTCCAAGGGATACATACTGTGTGGTTCTATTTAGATAACATTCTCGAAAAGATAAAACCATAGTGATGGAGAATTGATCAGCAGTTGCCTAGGGGTTTTGGGGTGGGGGGAGGTTGTGACTCCAAAGGGATGGGAGGAGGGAGGTTTGAGGATGATACGACTGTTCCTTATTTTAGTAGGGGTCACTCAGATCAATACATGTATTAACATTCATGGAACTTTATGCCAAACATAAAGTCAATTCTACTGTTAATTTTTAAATTAAAATTTCAAAATAGATTTCAGACACATAAACAAAACCTGAAAAGCTAGTGGGCTCTTTTGTTGCCACTGAATGCCCACTGCTGTCTGCAAAGCAGGCTCTGGACCCCTGGCGAGGTTCCCAGTATAGCTGCTCCCTCCTCCACCTTCCCACACAAACCATGCAGAGAATGGACTCCTCGCCTGTCCCTGCTGACAGAGATGCAGAGGTTTAACATTCTATTAATGAAACTGTAGGGGTGAACTGGGAGGGACTCTTTTTCATCAATCATATGAATGCAAAATGGTATAACATTTATGGGGAGGAGCCTGTCAATAGCTTTAAAAATTACACATTTATTTATCCTCCAGCCCAACAATCTCATTCTGGGACTTGACCTTAGAGACATAACTGCTCACGTTTAAAAGGAGATACTTACAAGGTAACTGTTGTAGTATTGTTTGTAATAGCAACACACTGGAAATAACCCAGGTTCCATCTATAGAGGACTAAATTTTACTATGATATAGCCACGCACTGGAATACTATGCCGCTGCAAAAAGAACGAGGAAGCTCTGACAAGAAATTTTAAAAAGCAAGGTACAGAACAGTGTATACAGTATATTACCATTTCCGTTTTTAAAAGCTGGGCAGGTACAGAGATACCTTTCACCTGAATACACAGAGGTGCTACTTGGATGGCTGGGGACAGTCAGGAGGAGACTTTTCACAGGATGCCCTGTGTACCTTTTGAATTTTGTATCATGTGAATACAGTACCTCTTTTTTAAAAGTAAGATAAAATTCAGTCTCTCCTCTTCCAAACAGTACCTGCTTTTCAACTTCACATGAGTGGGATCTCAGGACCCTCGCTGTGTCCTCCACACAGGATGGTGTGATACGATCTTACTCCCAAAGCTCTGAGGGCATTTTGTTTGTGTGATTTTAAAGGCATAAGAATTCTGAGGGAAGGAGGAGAGCCAGGTGAATGAGCTTCACACTGCAAACACGCCTCTCCTCTCTTGGGGACAGAAGATTCTCCCACTCAGATCGTCTCCCAGGCAGCTCCACTGGACTCAAGTCTGTGCCCTAATGAAGCCTGGAAGATAAAAAGTCATTTTACCTAAATTTATAATGCACAGAGCTAAATAATGCTGCTTTGAGACTTCCCTGGCAGAGGGACCTCCAAAGGGACGAATCCTTTCTTCCTCATACCCCTAGGCCACACTGCCCTGATGGTTATTTCAATGGCAAATGTTCTTAGAGTTTAGTGTGCATTGGAATCTCCTAGGAAGATGGTTAAAATGCAGATTCAGGGTACTGCCCTCTGA